CTCTGAATCCATGGAATCCCAGCGCCGGTGGGTTGAGCAGCGCCGGAGCCGATGCGAGTGGGGGAGTTGCGTCCATGGATGTTCTTCATCCCCTTCTCTCTCTAGCAGCCATAGATGGACTCCTTCCCCTTCTCTCCCCAGCAGCCATGGATGCACTTCATCCCCTTCTCTCTCCAGCAGCCACGGATGAACTCCATCACCTTCGTCACCCGTTCTTAACCATCTTTTTTTCCCTGCAGTTGTTGAAGAAGCTGCAACCGGCCATGAAAAAAGTTGCATCCACACTCCGAGGTGCTGGAACCGGCTAGGAAAAAAGCTACGACCACCTTAACCTGAGGTGCTGGAATCGGCATTTTCTTTTGCTGGAACCGCACTTGTTTTTGCTGGAACCATATGTTCTTTTTGCTTCAAGAACACTACTCTAGTTTTTTTGCTGAGTTTTTTTGCTTCAATCACATTAATTTTTGCTGGAACTGTCTTTTTTTTTTGCTTCAAATCTGACCATGGTAATTCTGCTCTTGAGATTTTTTGTTGGAACCTGCTAAATTTTTGCTACTACGGCGACGGCAACAGGGAAGCATTTGTGTGTTTTGCTGGAACCGGTGTTTTGTTTTGCTACCACCGATGGATTTTTTTGCTGCCATCGGTGATGACCGGATTTCTTTGCTGAGTTCTTGTTTGATTGAAATGGTGATGCATGCCTACACGGCAAGCAAGGGACGGACATGGCGGTGACGAGGGAGCTGCGATGGCGAGTTGGGACGCGAAGAGCTACATGGGGTGGACGGGCACGCATGGCGTGGCCGTGGCGGACGACGCGGCGATGTGGCAGAGACAAGCGAGGGGAAGAAGATTGGGATGAAAGGGGATGCGTTGACTTTGATCGAACAGTCACACGCGGGCCAATCTAACGGTGGGTGGTCGACCGGCCCAAAAGTTAGGCCGGCGCACCGGCGCCTATCAGTCCCCTTTCAACAAACACCTCTTGCGCATGGGACGGAAGCAGGGGAGCTCCTAGACACCACTCCCCCTGAGCTCGCTCGCATGCCGCAGCCGGGTAACACCACCACCGGGCACCACGGCCGCCTTCTTCACTCCCCGGCGTTGGTTGCGGACTGGAGATGGCAACAGCGTCGGCGCGGCGGGCGGCATCGTGGCGGTGGAGGTGAGGCAGGGGCAGGCACGCGGGCCACGCGGGCCACGCGCCGCTGCTGCGCTCGCCGGCACTGGACCGAGGGCGGCATGCTCCGCGACGTGCCCATCGGAGGCGGCCGCAAGAACAGGCGCAACGGCTGTAGCAAGGGCGGCGCCAAGGCCCCCTCCCCGGCTCCCCCGTCACCACGGAGGTGTCTACTGCAGCTACCCAGGGCAGCGGTGCAGGCGCACCGGCCGGCGCCGTTGACGGGTTCATCCCAGCCGACTTCTTGAAGCAGATGCTATCCCAGTCGGGGAGCTTCACGGCCGTCGGCGGGGGCGGCGGCTACGGCATCGACCTCAACGCATGGCAGTAAATGACCGGTGTCTACTGCCACGCCGCCGCCAGGACAGTCTGCTGCTAGGACGGCGCCGGAGCCGGGTCTTTCGCGCGGAGGAGGAGGTCTTGGGCACGGCGGCAGCGGCGGGCGCTACGAGCGGCGGCGAGGTGTGCGGCGGAACGGGGAGCAGCAGCGGGTACAAACAGCGTTGACTGATGATGTCATCACTTACATGTGGGCCAGGCCTGTCATAAGTGTGTTTAAAATGAACAGATGCGCCGATTTACAGACACGGTAGTTTTTAGTCAAAGATTAGGCAAAAAGTGGTAGTTTTTGGCACAAATTTGTAAAGTGGTAGTTTCTGGGTAGGTTTCCATGAATTGTGGTAGTTTTTGGTTAAATACTCGAGATTGAGACCAGACCAACATCTGTATTATCATTTAGGATATATATCAACTAGATCTTGAGGACTAGTAACACAAATGTTATATCTGGGATGCAGAGAGCAAGAAAACAGAGAAGTCAAGTTTTTTCTTTTGAAAAAGAGAGCTTACTCTCCGATTTCATTAAAAGAAACCACATTGTCTTTCCTACTACAGACTACTAGGAGCAACCACAAAAAGGTAAAATGCATGATCTCAGATGGACACAATCAGGCTATCCCCAACTGGCCATCTAGATCACAGGAAGGCTATATCAGCAAACCTGCCAACAGCCATAGCGAAATGACCACGTCATCCTGGGAAAGCCACAAACCGGGGTCTCCAGGACGATTAAACTGACACAAGACTCCAAACAGTTTTGCCCTCAGGCTTACATATTTATTCTACCGAACGATTAAGAGAGAAGTTGAGTTGAATAAGGAAGAGTGGAAGACTCACCGTGTTCTGTTCAAGCTCCATTTCACTGGTATCCTCACTAGTCTCCTGTTAGAAAACAGACCCAGGTCTATTAGCACTGCCCAGAAGCGAATTATACTATATAGACACCAGATATCATGGAAATCAAACCTAATTACTAATTACTGATTTTTAAAACAAGTATGGATGCAAAATTACAGATCAATGATTAAGAAAATCATGACATGCACAAGCTGGAGGGAATGCTTTTTTAGTTTTCGAACTGATGTTTTAGTACCTGCAGCTGAGAGTTATTGGAATCAGGAAGAGTTTCACAGGCTTGGGAATCCACCACGTCTCTCTCTTGAAGTTCTGCAGTGGACACAGAGGCATTGATATCAGTAGCAGCATACTACTATATAATTACACCGAAATTGAGTGCTTCATTCTAGATCTAGAAGATAAAATCTCCAAATGGACAACCAATTTTTTTTGTTATTGAGCACATCATAAAACTAGAATACATAGGCAACTCCGTGACCCACAGGCATCGAGCCAAATGGGGGAAATGATGCCAGTTTTTCCACCCAAATCAATCGTCCAAAACAAACAATCCTGAGAAGAAGAGGTGAGATTACTCTTACCGGCGAGCTTGGGATTAGTACCGGGATGAAGCTCAGTGTAGGCCGCCTTCCACCTATCCCTGCTCGCCTCCGCCTTCAATCACAAACAGCATCATCAGGCGCCATGAATTGAAGCCCAATGTATAATATATAATAAAAACCCCAAATAAATAAATAAATAGAAACCCTAGAGGAAACTGAGTCGCGGTTCAGCGAATGGGTCACCTGGAGGAGGTGGGCATAAAGGGCTCCCAGCAGCTCGTGCTGGGCCCTGTTGGTTTCCTCCACGCGCGCGCGGTCGGCGGCGAGCGCCTCCACCCGCGGCAGCATCGACTCGAGCCGGTCATGGAGACGCCTGATGGAATCTCCGGCGCCCCCGCTCTCCGCAGCCGGCGCCGCCCCCGAACCGCCGCCGCTCATCGAGACGAAAGATTGATTTTTTTTATTTATTTTTTTTGCCCCCTCACTTCCGTATGCTAGCACCCAGAAGTGCCCCTGGAAGGCTGGAACGGAAAGCAGATGAGCTCAATGCATGTCCACGAGGTTGATGGGATGCTTGAGCTCAATGCATGTTAGACCCAAAGGCATCCGATGGTGTGGTGCGGCCGTGCGGGTGAGGAGCGGATTTGGATTTCTCTGAGACGAGACGAGCAAGCGTACATGTTTATCCATCCATGGGCCCACTGGCGGAGGGCTCCGGTGGGCAGGGTATGGCACCTAGGGATGAAAATGGAGTGAAAACTTTCCGTTTTTCCGGAGGAAAAATGGAAACGAAGAGGAAATATGAAAATGAAAACGGAAATTTGCAAAACGGAAGTAGAAATGGAAATTTTTATGCGAAAACAGAAACAAAAACGAAATGGTGTTTTCAGGTGGAACATGCATGGAAGCGGAACTTTCTGTTTCCGTGAATACGGAATTTATGTTTTTACTATAGACCTATAGCTCCTTTGTAGCCCAACCACCAAAGAGAACACAACGACACAATTAGTAGAATGGATCTGAGGCCCAACTTCTACTACCACACATATACTCAGCTTGACCCTATATACAATTGTCCAGTACTACTACAATACTACGCTAGGGTTTTAACATAATGATATTATTTTGTAGCCACGTTAAGAACTCATTAAATTTGATTGTTTTTGTGTGTATTTCTCTATGATTCAAGGCGTTTTTAAGTTCTGATCAATGCCTATTTTTGTTTCCGTATTCACTTTGCATTCGCTCCGTTTCCGTTTCGGGTAGTATCTGTTTCCGTATTCATTTCCGGGGTTTCTTTATTTGTTTCCGCTTCCGCAAAAAAAATGTGAAAACAAATATGATAGCACTCAGTTCCGTCCGTTTTCGCTCCGTTTTCATGCCTAATGGCACCCGCCATACCTTGATTTTTGGCAAAAAAAAAATTATACCTATGTATCTATCGCTTTTGACCTGGACATCGGCTCGACCGCTCGAGAGCCTCGACATACCCCACTCAAACCCACCAACGCGACACCCACCCAGACCCAAACGCGACCAAACCTAGCACGGCGGCAGCTAGCCAGGTCGCGAGGACCAGGCGGACGCGACGACGGGCAGTCGACGGCGGCAACGGGCTGGGGGCTTGGAGGGCTGCTGCACAGCGGCACCTTCAGCGGCGGCTCCAGGCCTCCCGCGGCGCAGCAAGCGGCGGCTCCAGGCCTCCAGCGGCGCATCAAGCGGCGGCTCCGGCGGCGGCCGCAGCTGCGGCTCCGTCGACGGCTTCACCAGCGGCTCCAGCGGGCGATGGCGAGAGCCGGAGTTGGGGATTTTTCTGGTAATCCCTAGGGTGTAGGGTCCGGACTCTGAACTTTGTTGGGTGTTGGCGTTTTTTCTTCAGTCAGTTCTCCATTATCTGAACTAGCGCTGTTCTGTCCAGATTGCCAGAAGATGGAAGTAAGGGGGAAGGGACTAGCAAATTCGAAGAAAAGGGGAAGAGGTAATTTCTCATTTTTCTGAAATTTTGTAGCAATTTTGAACAGCATCTTGAAGCCTTACAATCCAGCAGATTTTAGTGATATATTAATCTTGTCACTGCAGATTTGAAAAGGTATTGCTATTACCGGTAGCGACGACAACTGTTGAAAGGGCCTTCTCATCAATGAAACTCATTAAGACTGAGTTGCGCAGCAAGATGACCGATGATTGGCTTAATGACTTGATGGTTTGTTTCATTGAACGAGAGATCTTCAAAAGTATAGATCTTGGTAAAATTAAGCAAGATTTTCAGAATGAGGGTAGGGCATTGCCATTGCCTGGGTCTTCTAGACACCATTGGAAGCTTCATTATTGGTATATTTTAGGTAGTTTTCCTATTGAAACATGCCTAGATTTTCAGTGTACTTGATTTTTGGTTGTAATGTGTATTGACTCTTGCGATTTGCATCAAAAAATTTCTTTCCTTAAGATTTCGCCACATCTTAATTTTTTTCCGTCCTCCGCCTCTGCATGGGCCATGGCGGCAGGGAAGGGAAGGGAAGCGAGATGGACTGGTCAAGTGTGTATTGGGTTCGGGGCTGGGAGTGGAAGTGTGGAGAAGAGAACACATTTATTACTGGAGCCTCCTTCCTTTTGACTCCTTGACCGTCTCTCCCCATTCCTCATATTTTTCTTTTTCTCTTCATGATAAGAAATGACTAAATTTGCCATTTTCTCGCTTCCCGTGACCCACCATTTATTTAATCAATGTCCCTTCTTACTCCCTCCATCCACGAGAATAAATATACATATAAAAAATTTACAACGTTTTTTTTTCAGGTACGCCAACAGCGTACCGTAGTTTTGTAGAAGGCCGAAAATAAGCTACTCCCTTTGTTTATATTTACTCCGTATTTTAGCTTTGCTAAAAGTCAAACTTTGTAAACTTTAACAAAGTTTATAAACATAAATAATAACAAATACAATAACTTGAATATACTTCACGTCATATAGATTTGCTATTGTAAATGTTTATATTTTTTCCTATAAATTTGGTCAAATTTTATAAAGTTTAATTTCAGTCAAACCTAATATGCAGAAGAAAAAAATCCATTTTACTCCCCTAAAGAAAGTGGGTTGTTTGCATAACCCCCTCATCTTTCTTTTGGTTCACTTAACCCCCTAATCTAATCAATACCGTTCAAAAATCGTTGTTGGTGGGTTTCTCAGGCGGTTTGCTGACATGGACTGGGTCAAAGTGGTTTGTTGACTAGTGGGGGTGGTGGGAACGATGCAGGTTTGTCCGGCGCCGCTGCAGAGAATGAGAGAAGAAAGGGGAAGATGGGGTCTTGGTCTGCCGCTGCGGCCGCCTTCGTGACCGACTGCCGCTGCTGCTCCC